CACTCAAATCCTCTGAGACACCGGTGGAACCAGCAGAGGGTTGGCTTTGCAAGAATGGAGTCCACAGAAAAGTGTGAAGCCATCATCACCCACTTTAATGGAAAATATATTAAGACACCTGCTGGAGTACCAGCTCCATCTGATCCCTTGCTTTGCAAATTTGCTGATGATGGTCCAAAGAAATGACAGAACCAAGGAAAATCTGTGCAAAATGGATGGGCCTGGCCAAGGAATGCAGATATGGGTGGTATAGGCTTGACCTATGACCCCACCACAGCTCTTCAGAATGGGTTTTCCCCAGCTCCTTATAATATATCACCCCCAGGAGGATGCTTGCTTGGTCTGCACTCTCCCCACGTCTTCTATCTCCTGTGTCTTTGGATCACAGAGTGACTCAGACATCTCCTCTACAAGCACCTAACCCATCCTAGATGCACCACCAATCATACCTCATGCAGCCTTCAGCTTCAGTTCTGCCACCAGAGATGGATCATGCCATTTCTCTCCAGCCTGCCTCCATGATGGGACCTCTTACCCAGCAGGTGGGCCACCTCTTCCTCAGCAGCAATGACACTTATCAGGCCTATGGCTGCCACTACACAAGGAGCTCACATCTCCCATGATATCCCCGTGCCTTCTCCCAGGACCCGAACCCGCGGTATCTCTGAGGTATGCCTATACAAATAGGGGCGCCTGGATGGCTCAGATGGTTAAGCATCTGCCTTCGGCTCAGGTCATGATCCCGGGATCCTGGGATCGAGTCCCGCATCGGGCTCCCTGCTCCCTGGGAGCCTGCTTCTCCCTCTGCCTCTCTCTCTCTCTCTCTCCCTCTGTCTCTCATGAATAAATAAATAAAATCTTAAAAAAAAAAAAAGAAAAACAAGACATTAAGTTGAAAACAAGAATTTATTTTATATTTAATAAAATTACTCAGTAGTTTCTATTTTCACATGTTTTTATAAAATTGCTAAGTAACTTACCTTCTTTGTTCAACATTACATCATTGTCATTGGGCCAATAGATAGACCTCTGTTAATTCTGCTCTTTTTATTTATTTTTTTAAAGATTTAAAAAAATGTATTTATTTGAAAGAGGGAGAGCGCGCGTGCACTAGAGAGAGAGAGCAGGAGTAGGGATGGGGCAATGGAGGGGGAGGGGATGGGGCAGACTCCCCACTGAGCAGGGAGCCAGCTGTGGCCTCAATCCTGGGACTCCCGGATCAAGTCCTGAACCAAAAGCAGACGCTTAACCAACTGAGCACCCAGGCGCCCCAGTTTTGCTCTTTTTAATACTTGCATAGTATTCAATATTGCATGCTTGAATGTACCACTATTTTGCCATCCTCTTTATCAAAGGATGTTGGTGTTGTTTCTAGTGTTTTGCTTTTACAAACAATGCTTTATTTATTTTATAAAGAACTTAATTTGTAAAGACAGCAAGATAGTTTGGTAAGGAGAATCACGGTGTCCTTTCCTGAGAATCTGAGAGCAGTATTTTACATGTATTTCGTGACATTTAGATTCAGCCTTCTACAGTGACAGATAAGATGAACCTTTGAGCTTCATTCCCAGATACCTACATTATTCAGCAAAATGTTTCCACCCCCACCCCCCTACTACCTTCCCATTGGGGTAACTGTTCACTCTGTCATTTAACCACTCAAAAATGTTCCCTTTGGTAAAATGAGGTAAGTATATACTTCCATTTGCACACTGTGAGATTTAATTAGCTAATGATGGAGAAGTTCTTGGGTGAAGAGTGCAGTGGAAGTTCAAAGTAATATTGTTATATGTTTAGATATATTTTCAATATGTAAAGTCACATAACCTTGTTATTACAGTCAGATATATGATTCTGGGCAAGCGTTACTTCCAGGGAGAAAACATAAAAGCCAACTGTTTAGAGATCTAGCACAAAGACATATTTTTCTGTGATCTCCAGGTGATGCCCACATTTGCAACCTCTCTCAACTCAACTTTAATGATAACGGCCTCCATTTGTGCCCCGCTGAATGTAATCTATTTCATTGAAGTTCCGAAAATGACCCTGACTTTCAGCCCTGCCTTGGCCAGTGGTACAGCTGTGCTGAATGTGTCTTGGATCTGTAAATAAAATACTGATTCTAGTCACTTCTGCAGAATGTATTTTGATACTGCAGATTTTTTCAGTGCTGGCTCAATTAAGTTAGGTATCTCTAAGGGAAAGTAGGATATCAGGTAAGGCAAAAAGGCAGGACATGGCTAACACTGGTAATTTCTTTAAAAAAGTGCTTTGAGCCCTCCTAATTTGTGAAGGTAACCTTGCACAGCAATCAGATAGATTAAACACTGTCATTTTGACTGAAACGAAGACAAAAGCCTTGGAACTCTAAAGAACATCTTATCATACATCAGGTCTCTACAATCAATACACTCTTTACTGGTAGTATTTTAGGACACCTGAGATGGTCTAGGACAGACTGGGTCTCAAAGGGACTTTGGCTGACCACTAAATATTTCTCCATCTTTGCTTTTCAATGGGAATTTGGCCCATGTTGTCTGCTTAATAAACATTCTGATTGAAAAATGAATGTACTTGGGGCGCTGGGTAGCTCAGTCGTTAAGCATCTGCCTTCATCTCAGGTCATGATCCCAGGGTCCTGGGATCGAGCCCCACATTGGGCTCCCTGCTCTGCGGGAGGCCTGCTTCTCCCTCTCCCACTCCCCCTGCTTGTGTTCCTTCTCTCGCTGTGTCTCTCTCTGTCAAATAAATAAAATCTTTAAAAAAAAAAGATAAATGAATGTACTTTCCCAGATGAAGCTTAAGATCATTGTACTCGTAGTTTCTGATCATAATTTGTTCATCATAAGTGTTTCCCCCTTGGGGAATTCATATGCTTCGTGTTTTGTTCTGATGTGTACCTAGTAGGCAGACTAAGAGCTTTCCAAAGATGTCCACAGCCTAATCCCTGGAACCTATGATTCTCTTACTTTCATGGCAAAGGAGAATTAAGGTTGCTGATGGAATTAAGGTTGCTAATCAGCCGAGTTTAAAATAGCGAGATTGGGGCACCTGGGTGGCTCAGTCGGTTAAGCGTCTGCCTTCGGCTCAGGTCATGATCCCAGGGATCGAGTCCCACATCGGGCTCCCTGCTCGGCAGGGAGTCTGCTTCTCCCTCTCCCTCTGCTTGTGAACCCGCTCTCTCTCTCTCTCTCTCTCTCTGTTAAAAAAATAAATAAGAGAAATCTTTAAAAAATAATAAAATAGTGAGAGTATCCTAGATTTTCTGAGTGAGTTCAGTGTAATCACAAGGTTAAAAAACAAAAGGTAAAGGTAAAAAAAAGAAAAAAGGAGGTCATGGTGAGACATGTGAGAGTCACTTGCTGTGACTGGCTTTGAAGACAGAGGAAGGGGCCGAGCAGTGCTGCCAGCTCCAGAAGCCAGAAAAGGCAAGAGACGGGTTTTCCCTAGAATCTGCAGAGAGGACACAACCCTGCAGACACCTTGATTTTAGCCCAGCCCTTGTCAGACTTCGGCTCTGCAAAACTGTAAAATAATGAATTTTTGTTGTTTCAGGCCAGCAGGTCTGTGGTCATTACAGCAGCACACAGAAAATGAAGTTCCCTTTTTTCCTGTTGACTCACTAGAGTTCCTTGTACATTCTAGATCTTGACCCATGTTCTACTTTTCCATATTAAAAGTTTCTCCTTACCTCCTAATCTGTTGTTTTTTTCTATGGTGTCCTTCATTCAGTACAAATCCTTACTTAATTTTTGTTAAGTCAAATCTCTCATTTTTTTCTTTCACGGATCGTATTTTTCAGTATTTTATTTAAATCCCTTTCTCTCGGGGCACCTGGGTGGCTCAGTCAGTTAAGCGTCCGACTCTTGATTTCAGCTCAGGTCATGATCTCAGGGTCGTGAGATCGAGCCCTGCGTTGGGCTCCGCACTTAGCAAGGAGTCTGCTTGAGATTCTCTCTCTCCCTCTCTCCCTCTGGCCCCACCCAAATAAATAAATAAAATCTTAAAGCCCTTTCTCTCCCTCAAGTTCCAAAGACATTTTCTTTTCCTTCTTTTGTTAGCGTTATGGCTTAACCTTTTCCATTTGGGTTCCTAGTTCACAGAGAACCTTATCTTTCATGTGGTGTAAAGTAGCTCTCTATTGGTTAGGATACTGGCTCAGCTACTTTAATGGGGTCCAAACCATCTGTGGCTTAAGAAAGATGGAAATTTATTTCTCTCTCACTAAAGGTCAAGCTGTCAGCGGGCAATCCAGATGTGTAGGACCTCAACATGTACCTTCCATTTCAGAGTCCAAGCAGCTGTTTTATCTCAAAAGACAGGGAATGTTTTCGTTCTCACTTGCTTTCTGATAAATGTATCCAAAGATAGAATCTCACATTATGTTCTGCTAAAGCGGAAGATTATAAGACCATCTAAAGATTTGTCTCCAAGATTTTTGGCTTTAAGTGCCTTCACTGTCATTTATTCCTGAGTATCTTATAACTTGCTGGGAGATTTCTACTAACACTTGGCAGATTTAGCAGTTTATCCTGTTTTTCATTATACTGCCTGTCCTAGAATCATCTATGAAATTTTTGCGTTTGGGTTTCAATGTTGTGTCATGGTGTAATTTTTTGGAAGAAATTAATTTATTAATCAATGATCCAAATATCCGTTAAAATTTAATTGATACCATGAAATGGGTTACCAGGAGTTTCAATTTGGGAAGATGGAAAGTTCTGGAGCTGGTTAGTGTGATGATTGGACAACAATGTGAATGTGCTTATGCCACTGAGCTATACACTTAAAAATCATTAACTTGGTAAACTTTATTTAATGTATATTTTGCCATAATTTAAAACATAAATTTAGAAAAAGAGAGAAGTTTGAAAAGCGAGAAGAAATGGCCAGTGATAGGGTCCTGTAATGTCTCACCACAGTTTCATGATTTTGTTCAAAGGTGACCCTTTACAGTTAGGTAATAAACAGGTGACAACATCACACAGAAATGAGGCATGAGGGGACAGATCAGGGCAGAGGACATCCAAGTCATGCCAGGAACCTGGATGGGGAGGTTGGAATTGCAGAATATAAGATTTCAAAATGAATTTAGAGATTGTGTTTGTGGTTTCATTTGTTGGCTCCTTTGTGTTTTATTTTAACCCAGTGGCCATGGGTCTCCAGGGTGCCAGGCCCTCCCGAGCTTTTTCAAAAAAAATTTTTTTTTTTTAAATTCTCACAGGTGTACTATTCTAAGGAGAAAGTCCATGGCTTTCATCGGATCCCAAAGCATTCTCTCAACCCACAGAAACTAAAGAAATGGATCCAGTCCACGCTCACCTTTCTCAGTTGAGGAAACTGACACTAGAAGAAACATGGCTTCAAGCCCAAGGTCCCAGAGATAGTTACGGTCGGTCCTGTTTCTCCTTTTCACAGAGGATTTTGAGTTTCAGGTGACTTCCCCCTTGATAGTCTTTCCATTTTTAAGAGAGGGCTGCTTGGGGTGGGGGGATGGGTTAGCCTGGTGATGGGTATTAAAGAGGGCACGTTCTGCATGGAGCACTGGGTGTTATGCACAAACAATGAATCATGGAACACTACATCAAGAGCTAATGATGTAATGTATGGTGATTAACATAACAATAAAAAATTATTAAAAAAAAAAGAGAGAGGGCTGCTTGGAACTCGCTGTCCTCTGAACTGTAGCACAGTTGCCTCTGCTGGTCCTGCCTTCACTGATTCCAGTGGGAGTCCTTTGCCAAGGGAGGGACGAGGACGACCAGGGTAGAAGCAGAGGAAGGGTACTGTATCTGCTGGAAGCCCTGGGGGCCTGGGGGGCAGGTGCTGACTGTAACTTTTTGGATGTCCTTGGGTTTAAATGACTCCCCCGAGAAGGTGACAGGAACTAGAACCATTGTACTCATATCACAGAAGGATCTAGCTGCAGGGCTGGGCACAGCACAGTCCGGCTTCCCCAGGGAGGATGGAGAGTGATTCGTAGCAGGATCTGCCCAGAACAAAAGGAGAAGGAAGAAATTTGGGCTTAGCACAATGACTACAAAGACCAAACAGGCAGTCTGGTAAAGCATCAAGCCAGCCAAAGAAATGTAAGCCCTCTTCTTGGCGGGAACTAGCTATGTGTGAGTAATAAGATCCTTTCTCAGGGAAGCAGGTGCTTTGTAGACAACTGGTCTTAATGAGCACACATCAATAGGTTTGGCTGAAAACCTCCCAATACCAGAGAATAGAACAGTTAAATCAAATAATGAAGGTGCCGTAACGGTGCAGTAAATGGAGGCACGCTGCCCGGAAACTGTGCGCTCTTCTATTAAGTCTCAAAATTGTTGTGCCAGGTGACACAGTGCTCAAAAGAAGTGTTAGTGAAATTAATAGATTAGAATTACCAACTAATTAAATTGTGGGGCACAGTCTTTCTAGTATGCAGCAGTAGTCAGCAGCAGAACCTCTTCCACGTAGCTAGGGAGAAATGGCTCTCATGGAAGGAGGGTAGCAGCTCAAACAGCCTCCCGTATGCTCCCATACTCTCCACAGTATCAGCTCAGAGGATCCACTCAGTAATGGGGAGAGACGTGTTTTACAAATGTGGAAGAGTCCAGCAATTGCTCCTTTTCCTATACGCAACTATAAATCTGCGTCTTTCAGGCAATGTGGACAGCACATATAAGAGATGCTGGTTTGTTTTTTCTTATATCCATGAAATGAACCTCAGAAAGTCTGAGGCACAAGAATTAGACTGTCCTGACAATCACCCGGATGCTGCAGCCAGAATTTGAATGATTACCCAGTGAGAAATAAAAATTGTTTTCCTATGCTGTCAAACATACAGTTTTGGGCAATTATAATTTTTTTAATCATATACTGACTATTGAGCTATCTAAGGACTAGCTATAATAACGTATAGCATGAATAAATTGCAATAGGGAATTAAAAAGAAATTAAAATCTATATGGCAAAAAAACTGGTAAGTAGAGGGGCACCTGGGTGGCTCAGTCAGTTGAGCATCTAGCTCCTGATCCCAGGGCTCTGGGATAGAGCCCCATGTCTGACTCCCTGCTCAGCAGGAAGTCTGCTTCTCCCTCTGCCCTTCCCTGCCCAACTCATGCTCTCTCTCTCTCTCTCTCTCTCTCTCACTCTCTCTCCCAAATAAATGAATAAAATCTTTGAAAAAATCATTTAAATAAAAAACTGATAAGTAGAATATAGATATGATTAACATCTAAACGTCATATAAATGAATGTTACACAAGCTGCTTAGCATGAGAAATTGCAAAAAATCTGCGATTAACTCGTGTTAATTTGACATCAAATGCAACAGTTTTATTTTTAGCACTGTAAGAATAAACATGTAATTAGCTCTCAAAGAGGATGTATCATAAATAGTCCAGTCTGGCTATTTTAACCACCCAAATAATTCAAGGTTATTGGATTTTTTTTAATTACATATTCAGAGTTTTCACCATAAAAGTAATCATTGTCATTAAAGATGTTTGAAATTACAAAAAGGTAGAAAAAGAGAAAAATTACATTTTACTTTTACTTTAGGATTTCTATATACAGGTTTCTTTGCTTATTTGGGGCACATAGTCACAGTTTTATAATGCAAATGATTTGGTGTTCTTATATTTTTCCTTAAATAAAAATCATCTTCCAATGCTATTATACCCTACTTACAACAATAACTTCTATTATTATACATACCATACTTTCTAAATTGTATTTTAATAGATGTACAACATTCCATTAATTGTTTATTATTTATAATAGCATCAAAAAATACTTAGGAATCAATTTAAGAAAATAAATGTAAGACTTGTACACTGAAAATTACAAAATACAATTGAAAAAATATTTTTTAAGACCTAAGTAAATGGGAAGACATCCTGTGTCATGCACTGGAAGACTCAGTATCATTAAGATGGCAATACTCCCAAATTGATCTATAGATGCAATGTAGTCCCTCACGAAATTCCAACTGCCCTTTCCACAGGAATGGACAAGGTTGATCCTAAAGTTCACTGAACAGAGAAGCTCAATTAAGATGTTGAATCAGATGGTTTATTAATTAATTCAAAACCCGGGGCGCCTGGGTGGCTCAGTTATTAAGCATCTGCCTTTGGCTCAAGTCATGATCCCAGGGTCCTGGGATCGAGCCGCGCATCGGGCTCCCTGCTCAGCCAGGAGCCTGCTTCTCCCTCTCCCACTCCCCCTGCTTGTGTTCCCTCTCTAATTGTCTCTCTCTGTGTGTCAAATAAATAAATAAAATCTTAAAAAATAATTAATTCAAAACCCACAGTGAGACACTCTATTGGGGGAGATAGAATAGCTCAACATAGCATAGAGTCCAAGTGAGGTGAAAGATGATCCTCCCTGAATCTCGAATCTTGGGATTCCCTTCTCTCTCTCTCCCCCCGCTCCTTCTCCTCCCCCTCCCCCTCCCTCTCTTCCTTCGTCCCTCTCCCCACCACCCTCCTCATTCTGTCATAAGTACCAGAGTTGAGGTTGAGAGGTTAAGCCAGAAATGCCTGGGATCAATAATATGCACTACCTCCTTTGGAAAACACAGGAGCAAGTACTTCTGACGTCAGCTATAGCTTGCCAACTAGCCCGCTGAACAGCCATGGTTTTGTCTGCATTTCTTAACCCAAGCACCATGGGGCCAGGATGGGTCCATATGAGTAGCCAACCTAGGGATGATTAGCTGTCAACCGAGAAGTGACAGGATCTGTACCTTATGACTTGGCTGTCTCATATTTTCTTTCCGTAAAGAAATACTTTTGCTTCTTTCATCCTGTTTATCATATATGTAATATGTCTTGAATGTTACTAATATATCATCTATATTTAACATATCTTGTGAATTCTGCTCATGTTGTTCACGCTACTTCTTCATTCATTTTCTATCTTTAACACATCTTATGAGTTTTACCTACCACTCATAAGCTATTAGCTTAGGTATTAACTTCGCTTAACACTTACGGGTTTCATCCATCCCGTCTGTGGTGGTTAATTTTATGTGTCAACATAACTGGGCTAAAGGATGCCCTGATAGCTGGTAAAACATTATACCTGGATGTGTCTGCAAGGCTGTCTCTAGAAAAGACTAACATTTGAATCAGTAGACTCAGTAAAAAAAGATCCACCGTCATCAATGAGGTGGCATCATCCAATTCCTTGAGGGCCAGAATAGAAATGAAATGGCATAGAAAAGGTGGAGGAAGAGTGGATTTGCTATCTCCGGTTAGCTAGGACATCCATCTTCTTCTGCCTCCAGACATCAATACCTGTGCTCCTGATTCTTGGTCTTTCAGACTCAGACTGGGACTTCCACCCCTCATTCTCAGACCTTTGGGTTCAGACTGAATTGCATCGGTGACTTTCCCAGTTCTCCAGCTTGCAGATAGCAGTTCGCAGGACTTCTTGGCCTCCATAACTGCATGAGCCAATCCCTATTGGCTCTCTTTCTCTGGAAAACCCTTGAGTAATACCCCATTTGTCTCTCTTGTCTTCTGTTACGGAATTAAATATTTCATAAATAAAATAGCAAACTCACATTATAAGGATTGAGAAAAATTACTGGATTTAGTCAATTTTTAGGGTACTTTCATATTCCTCTCTCTTCATAAAATATTATAAATTTTAGCCATTTGACCTTCCAAGCAAATGTGAACCTTTGTAAAGTACTAGCCCTGTTTTTTGACTGATTGTTAGAGTTGGGTTGTTTTCATCCCTTGTCTCCTGACACAACTGTATCAGCCAAGAGGGAATTGACAAGTTATTTTAATATAGACAATTTAACATAAAGGATCAATAACTAGATATAAAGAATTATTAACTATGCTTTGGAGCTCTGAAAAGGTAAAACAGGGAACATTAAACCACCATGGAGGTAACAAGACTTCGGGAAGCAGATGGTCCCTTCCTTTTGGGGGGACTAAAGAGAAGCTTGGAGAAAGAGTCCCACAGAATTGAATCCCAGACCTCTGAGAAGGGGGTGCCCCATGGCACTGGAACCCCAACTTTTGTGAGCCACTGATGCTGGTGTTAAGGTGGTACTTTTTTTTTTTTTTAAGTAAGCTCTATACCCAACGTGGGACTTGAACTCATGACCCTGAGATCAAGAGTCATGTGCTCTACTGACTGAGCCAGCCAGGCACTCCAAGGTGATACTTTAATTTTAGTTCTTCAAGGGTTAGAAAACCTGCAAAGTGGATTCACCTTCTGCCCCAGAAATCAGCTGGAGTGAGGAAATACTGCTTGGGGGTTGCACACAGCTTCCTGTCGAGGAAGTCCCCAGGAAGGAGAAGCCCTCCTCCCTAGTCCTGCATCCTCCCTCTAGCAGAACCCACAGGGAACCAGTTGGCAAAACAGATATGTGGTGTGCAGAGACCA